CCAACCAACCTTGATCGGGGTGATTATTTTACCAGGCAAGGTCTATCCCTTCGGAAAGGAATGGGTCCCTGCACTAATCCAGTTATTGGAATAGAATATAATCCAGCTTCCAAAAGCTAAGTTCCTCGAGCAACCTGGCCTTGACTGCTACACACATGTGAGTTATTGTGCCTACCATCGTTGGATCAATGATCCTACATATGATTGCTACTCGCTGAAGGATATTATTGAGGCCCTAATTTAGAAGGGTCTGATAAAGCTCGAAGACTTAAAGGCCTTTAAGGTAGCCGAGGCCTCCCATTCCGTAACCATCAAGGAGGAAGATGAAATGCCTGATATCCTTTACGCCTTCTTCATTATAAATCTTCAGGAAGGCATAATCACATTAAAGCAGGCAAGCCAACCCGTCGCCTTGCTAAGGGGATTAAAGATCGTTTGTGCCTGTACCATCAAATAAGAGGCCATTACTTGTCAGAATGCACAAGTTTTCTTGATATATTTGCAAAGAAAATGGCGAAGTGTCAAGAGTTTTACGATCTCCCTATAAGTGATCCCCAAGTCATTCCTTTATCAGGGCAAGATGATCTCACAAAGCAGGATCTTCCTATCAATGACTCAGACTTTGTCAAATCCTCGACTTTGATAGCTTACCGTGGTCGAAGCAGACTCAAGTCCTTAAGGTGAGAAGAAGTTCACCAAGCTAGAGCTGTTTGCAAGCCTAGTGAGATGAATCAAACATCACCTCAAAAAGCTAGAAAGAGACGGGTACCAAGAGCTACTCACCGAAGAAACAAGACTTCACAACCTACAGTCGAGCGGGAATTTCTCAGGCCTCTTCCTACACTGCCAACTTTATTTAACTTCATCCCTGGCACGATCCTTCTTCCTTCTTCATCCTGTCAAGAAGACGTTCCTGTGCCATCTCCCACTTAGCACACGTCTAATGAGGGTGACGACGTTAAAAGCACTCCCCAACGGTCTATGCAAGGGAAAGACCTAAAAGACCCCTTGCACCCGTCCAATCTTGTTGATGACGTAAAAAGCTGCCTAGATCGGTCTGATGAGGGGAATGACCTTAAATGTCCCCCACCTTTTAACCATTATCCTTCTTCTTCTCTTGCTTGTCATTCTCCCTCTTCTATATCCCCTGGAGTACAACCTTGATATGCCCAAACTTCGAGGCTCTCGACCGTGAATTCAAAGCAATCAATATGAGCAAGACACAGTGGAAACGATTGAGAAAGATCCTGGCATAGACAGCAGGATTCCAAACTGTTGTTCATGCCCTGGCAGCTAAAGGCAAGGCAGAGCCACTTTCTTCAAAGAAACATAAGAAGTCAAAGCCAAAGAAATCCTAGTGGCCCCTTGAGCCTAACTTCGAGCAGAGATTGAGAGAATCAAAGGGGAAAAGCTCTTATTCTCAGGGAGCTTGCCACATGGTGTAAATTTCGAGACCAATACCCACCACGGGGCAAATAAATCTCAGATCAGGGAGGACACTGCAGCCTCCACCGCAGAAGTCGGGCACCTTGAAGTTCCCCAGTCCGCCACTGTGCCCTAATCCAAGGACTAGTTTGCCTATCTTATAGCTCCATGGTTTCCTTCTTAATCCTAATACTTCAAACAATCCACCTATTCTCCAATTCCCTTAGACCCCTTTGATCCCATACACTCAAACTTCCATCACTCAAACTAAGCCCGCTGTGCTATCAAGTCAGCCAACAGGTCAAAATAAACCTTTTCTACCCAAACCTGCTCCTCAACCTAACATACCACCCAAATCTGTGGCAGGATCAAGAGCACATGGCCTTGATCAAGAAAAGGTGAAATATGATGTGATAGGGCTTCTATGGAAACTTTCTGCTCTTCTTAATATCTGTGATACCCTCATGCTCTCGAAGGAATACCAGATGGATTTGGATTAAGCTCTCTCTACCTCAGAAGTGTACGAAATCAATGTAGAACCTATTGAGGTCGACCCGACAATTTTAGAAGGATGTATGCCAATCACCTTTTCAGAAGACGATCTGCAGCTGGGGGAAAATATCATAATTTCCCTAATAACTTTCAATCTAGGAATAATTTCAAAATAGTTTCTATATGAAATTTTAGGCCATTCAAAGATCTTTCAAATGGCTATGGTTGGCCAAAAATGAACTTCGTTTGGTTGGTTAAAATCAAAGACCACAGTGGTATTAGTGAAACATCAAGGAAAACAGTCAATAGTGATATACCTTCACATTTTGAAACGTAACTTCATTTTTTGTGAAGAATTTCAATAGTGAGCAAAAACAAAAATTTTGCTATACTCATATATCTTTCCAATGGCAGTGATGTGTGGTCAGTTGGACCCCATTTGGCTGCTCAAAATCCTCTTTCAAAAATACACATACTTATGGAATTTTCACAGTGGCATATAACATGTCTCAAGAGCACATTCCATAACCTTAATTTTATGATAACAACCATTATCTCAGAATGTGCACACATAACATGCATTTCTTACATAATATAAGAATCATGCATTCATTCTATATAACATACACTTTTATTGCTCATTTCAGATGCATAAATTCTCATGCATCCCTATGACTACAATGCAATGGTGAAAGATCCACTTACCTAACCAACAATAGTGTCTTCTCTACTCCTCTTCTCACAGCTCTTACCTGCCCAACAATGGCTGCCTACCAACAGTCACTTCTTTAAACACTATATCTTAGAGAGAGAGAGATGAAGTAAGACTGAGTAGAGTGGGTGAGAGAAGAAGCTTAAGTACTCTTGGGTTTGAGGTGGCGATCAAGTGTCACCAAGGCGCTCAAAATATGGACAAGAGGTTCTTAAATCAACATGCATCTAACAAGTGGCACTCACAACTCATGCATGTCAGAAGCATAGCTGGCGTTGCACAAAACACAGCCAGTGCTGGTACTTCTACACAGCCGATGCTAAGCTCTCTACACAGCCTCCATTGAACTATTCTACATAGCCGGCGCCGGGCTCTTCTACACAGCCGGCGTTGGGCTCTCTACACAGTCGGTGCTGGGCTCTCTACACAGTCTACGCTGGGCTCACACAGCTGGCGCTAGGCTCCTTTATCCTTCCTTCATCCTTATCCTGCCATGCACTCTACCCGGCAGAGAAAAATATGGGTGGTAACATCATCTCCCCCTAAAAAGAGATTTTGTCCTCAAAATCGTTAATCGAATTAATTGGGGTACAGGGCCCATTTCATCTTCTCGCTCCCATGTTGATTCTTCCCTCGAGTGATATTGCCATAAAATTAGGACTAGAGGAATTTCTTTGTGACACAGTATCTGATTTCTTCTATCAAGTGTCTCAATAGGCTGTTCTATATAAGTTGAATCTTCCCTGATCAGGTTTGGCTCATACTCCAAAACGTGGGATGGATCGGGCTCAAATACCTTCTTAATCACAACACATGAAATACATCATGGACATTAGCCACCGCGGGCGGTAGGGCCAAACGATATGCCACGACTCCAATCCTTTCTAAGATCTCAAAGGGTTAAGTAAATCATGGATTTAGTTTCGCCTTCTTACCAAATCTCATTATACCCTTAGTGGGTGATACTTTCAGAAAAACCTAATCACCCACTTCAAATTCAGGGTTCCTTATCCGATTGTCGGCATAACTTTTCTGCCACCTTTGGGCTATCTTGAGCCGCTCTCGAATTAAGGCAATTTTTTTTTGAGGTTACTTGAACAATCTCTGGCAACAAAAGTTTTCTTTCACTAACCTCGTCCTAACATATAAGCTATCTGCACTTCCTCTCATACAATGCCTCAAAAGGTGCCATCTGGATACTGGCCTGGAAACTGTTGTTATAAGCAAATTCTTTCAAAGGCAGACGATCATCCCAGTTTCCCTTGAAATCTCTAATACAGGCCCTCAACATATCTTTTAGGGTCTGAATAGTCCTTTTCGACTGTCCATCAGTCTGAGAGTGGAAAGCAGTACTAAAAGTGAGTTTGGTCCTCATAGCCAACTGCAGGCTGTTTCAAAACCTTGGAGTAAATCTAGAGTCTCTATCGGACACAATACTAATAAACACCCCATGTAGTCTTACTATCTCCTTAATGTATAATTGGGCCAACTTATCCATGGTATAAGCAATACGGACTGGCAAGAAATGAGCTGCTTTAGTGAGTCGGTCTACGATGACCCAAATACTATCCTGCCCCAAACTGATCTAGGCAGACAGTAGCCAAATCCATCGTTAGGTGCTCTCACTTCCATTCTGGCATAGGTAAGGGTTGTAACTGCCCAGAAGGTTTCTGATGTTCAGCCTTCACTTGATGACAGGTTCAGAACTAGAAAACAAATTGTGCAACTTCTTCCTTCATGTTATTCCACCAAAAGATATTTTTAAATTCTGATACATTTTCGTGTTCCCTGGTTGCACTGTATAACAGGTGTGATGTGCCGCTTCTAAAATAGCCCTTTTTATCCTTTCATCGTCAGGGACACAAACTCAATCTTTAAACCTTAACATATCATCCCTGCCCAGAGTAAAATCTTCCTTACCTTCCAACATTAATTCCTTGAAAATTTTCATGAATCTAGGATCCTCCTTTTGAGCTACACTGATTTGCTGAAAGAGATGGGGTTATATTCTTATGCATGAAATTATTCTTTTTCCATCATCAAGGGGCAGAGTTGGGTGCCATTCTACTGCATCTTCTAGTTGCATCATCTCTCGGACCATCATGTGAGCCATTGACACACAGGCTTCCTACCTAAGGCATCTACCACAACATTGGTCTTACCTGAGTGGTAATTGATGGTACAACCATAATCATTGAGCAAGTCCATCCATTTTCTTTGTCTCATATTCAATTCTTTTTGAGAAAACAAGTACTTGAGGCTCTTATGGTCAATGACCACCTTAAATTGAGTTCCATACAAATAATGTCTCCAAAGTTTTAGGGCAAAAACCACATCAGCCAATTCCAAATCGTCAATGGGATAGTTCTGCTCATATAGCTTTAACAGCCTGGAGGCATATGCTATGACCTTTCCCCTTCACATGTGAGTCATCAGTAAAAACCACAAAATCTTCATTCCCCTCATGCAAAGTCAGTACCGAGGCTGTAGTTAATCTCTTTTTTAACTCCTGAAAACATTTCTCGCAAATATCTGACCACACAAACTTCACTTCCTTTTGGGTTAAGCGAGTGAGGTGAAGTTTTATCTTAAAATATCCTTCAACAAAACGCATGTAATACGTGGTCAGTCCTAGGAAACTGTGGACTTCAGGTACATTCATTGGTCTTTCCCATTTAAGCACAACCTCAATTTTACAAGGATCAACTGCCACCCCGTATTTGGAAACAATATGCCCAAGAAAAGCCATGCTTGGAAGCCAGAATTCACTCTTATTGAGCTTAGCATACAATTTCTCCATCCTTAGAGTCTGGGGGACCACTCTTAAATGTTGCTCATGATTTGTCTGATTCCTAAAATACACCAAAATATCATTTGTAAGGACCACCACAATGTCATCCACTTAGGGTCTAAAAATTTTGTTCATTAGATCCATAAAGACAGTGGTGGTACCCACTCTTAAATGCAGTCTTGGAGATATCCTCTTCCTTAACACCCAATTGGTGGTACCCAGACCGTAGGTCAATTTCAGAAAGTACTTGGGCCCCTTGCAGTTGATCAAATAAATCATCAACTCTGGGTAACGGGTATTTATTCTTTATTGTTGTCTGATTCAACTGTCTAATCAATGCATAGCCTTAAAGACCCATCTTTCTTCTTCACAAATAGAACCGGTGTGCCCCATGGTGATACAGTGGGTCAGATGAACCCCTTATCCAGTAATTCCTGTAACTTCTCCTTCAATTCTTTTAACTCAGCTGTGGCCATCCTATATGGGGCTTTAGAAATATGATTGGTACTAGGGGCCACCTCTATTTCAAATTCAATCTCTCTAATTGGGGACAGAGAAGTTAACTCTTTAGGGAAGACTTCTGGATATTTTCTCATCACCGGTGTCTCTTTTAATTTAGACTGAACACCCCATTTTTCTACTACATAAGCCAAGTATCCAACACATCGTTTGTCTAGCAGGCGAGAGGTCTGAAGGGTTGAGAAGATGTTGAGATGATGTGTAAAGGAGAAACATCCTTAATGCCCTCAAAATATAGTTCAGGTTGACCAAGGCATCTAAAAGTTACAGTCTTATCAAAACAGTTCACTGTGGCATAGTGGGTAGACAACCAATCCATACCCAAAGTACTATCAAAGTTTCAAACATCTAAGAGTATGAAATCTATAGGTAACAAGTGCCATTCAATTACAACCCCACACTGTTTATACATTATATCAGTTTCTATTCATTCTCCCATAGGTGTAAATACTACTAGAGTCCAAACAAGTTGTATAGGTTTAACATTCAAGTGACATGCAAAGTGTGGTGCAACAAATGAATGGAATGATCCAGGATCAATTAAAACTTTTACCTTGATTCCACATACAAAAAGCATACTTGGAACCACAGAGGTTGATGCCTTAGCCTCTTACTCAGTCATGGCAAACACCCGCCCTTAAGCCCTCGGTCGGTCCTCTGATCCCCTGACGAGACAATCTTTCATTATATGGCCCAATATGCCACACCAAAAGAAGGTCTTGGTCTTTCCAAAGCATTCATCCATCGTATGATTCCCCAATCCATAGTGAGGGCAGACTGGACGTCGAATGCCCATCATATCTCTTGGAACAATCCCTGGGACTCTGACACTACCTTGATTGTTTCTCCCCTGCAACTCTCTCCTTGGAGGGGGTCATGCCTTTTTCCTAAAACTCATAGGCTGGGCTGTTGCAACATATTTTTCAGCAACTTGGTCCCTGGTAGGAAGCAGGTCAATAAAGCCTACAAAAAAGTAAAAATTCTTGAGATTCTCAGAATGACACTAAAATTGGTAAAGATTTTCATTATCAGTCCAAAAGATCACCTGCCAAGTTTCGTCACATTCTGACACATTTAAGGCAGTGAACACAAAGAAATCATTTTCGAAAAAATGGCCTCTAAGCACCCTTAAACGGACCCTACAACTGGAACTACATTTTCTGAGTCTCAACTCACAGGGAAAAAAGCTAGATAGAAGTTTTCAATCCATGAAGAAATTGCAGAAAATTTAGCAACAATATTCCTCGCTCGATGGACCAAATCACGACTCTCGCACAACTGATCAACACGAAAAAAATTCCATTGTGTGCGTAAGGTCTAGGGCTATCATTGGTCTGAACCCCATACCTGATGGACGGTTAGATTTCGTGCACAAAGCCAATGAAGTTACTGAAATTCAGGCTGCTGGATTCTTGATTCCGGCCAAAACACAAACATTACGAAATCTTCGTTTATGCTCTAAATCGCATCCCGTTTGTTTTCATGCAATCGTGACAGCATGTTTAATTTACTACAATGAAAAAATTTTAGAAAAAAATTAAGGCATGAGTGCACTATCGATCCGAAGTTTCCAAGATTCAAACAAATTTCAAGTCTCGTGATCATCGCTCAAAAACATGATTCATGGTTCGAAGTCGGTATAAAAACGATCATCATGTCGAGCCCTATAAGAAAACAATAATCTTTCGATCAAATGGGCATCAAAGCAACTCTGGGTCAGCCACGGAAGATCACACAAGTTCTCAGGCAGCAGCAGAGACTATTCTGAAATTCCACACATTATTAGGCAGGGGCAAAACCGTCCTTTTGCACTTTTTTTTAGAATTTATTTGAATTCAATTAAATCTTAATTTTCAGAAATGAGGTCTAATTTTGATCAATCCACCCATGTTTGGGCACAATTCTTTATAAACAGGCACTGCCTCATTATAAAACAAGGGACCTCTTGGCCTTCAGTGGATGTTTTACAGATTGAATAAAAATTTTGATTCCTCGCTTGAGCTTATGAGTACGTCTAGGAGAGAGAGAGAGGAGAGAGAAAAAAAAAAGTCGATACCTTTCAAACAAGTAACTTTCTCTCTCCTCCCTCTCTCTCCTTCTTTTTCTCTTCTTTCTCTCTTTCTCTCTCTTCTCTCTTTCTCTCCTCCTTCTCTCTCTCTTTATTTTCTCTCTCTTTCTCGCTCTCTTATTTCTCTCTTTCTCTCTCTTCTCTCTCTCTTGCTCCCTTTTGTCTTTCTCCCTCTTTCTCTCTCTCTTCTCTCTCTTCCTCTATCAATCGATGAGACCTAGCACCTGTTGGTCTCCTCTCTCTCTCAGTCAGCCGGCTAGACTTAACACAGACTGGGCCTTCTCTTTTCCTCTCAGTTGGTGAGATATAGTGCCGACTGGTTTTCTCTCTCTTCCTCTATCAGTTAGTGAGACCTAGCACCGACTGGCTTTCTCTCTCTTCTTCTGTCAGTTGGTGTGACCTAGCGCCGACTGGTCCATCTCTTTCTTCCTCTGTTAGTCGGTGTGACCTTTCATCGATTAAGTTTCTATAACTTTCTCTGTCAATCGGTGAGACGTAGAGTCGACTGACCTTCTCTCTCTTCCTCTATCAGTCAGCGTGACCTAGCGTCGACTGGCTTTCTCTCTCTTCCCCTATCAATCGGTGAGACCTATAGTCGATTGGTTTTCTCTCACTTCTTCTGTCAGTTGGTGAGACCTAATGTCGACTTGGTTTCTCTCTCGTCCTCTGTCAGTCGGTGAGACCTCCCGTCGACTGATTTGCTCTCTCTTCCTCTATCAGTCGATAAGACTTAATGATGACTAGTTTTCTCTCTCTTCCTTTGTTAATCAGTGAGACCTAGCATCGACTGATTTTCTCTCTCTACCTCTATCAATTAATGAGATTTAGCACGATTGGTATTATCGCTCTCTTCTCCTGAAACAATCGATAATGTCTAGTGTCGACTGCATCTTCTCTCCCCTCTTCTCCCTCCTCTCTTCCTTCTTCTCTCTCCTTATGTCTATTCCCTTCTTCTCGTTAAGCATTCCTCTGTTACCCTTACGTTTTACCAAGAGATATTGAGGTTAGCATCACATGGCAGGCCTGTCGTTTAGCCGTAATGTTGCTGTGCCAAGATCACTTGGCCCACTTTACTGCCACAATAGATAGACTATCGTGCTTAGCTGGTAGACATTAGTAATAATGTCAAGTTGTGATTCCGTGAGCCGGTCTTCGTTTGCGAGATAGTTTTGCTACCACGTTAGGCCAATTATCAGCCAACCTTATCACCGCTCTGATCCTCTCGCTTGGACGAAATCTTCTCTCCTCCCATCTTTCTTACTTCTTTTGGAATATGCATGCTTGTGTACGTTCATCAGAGAGGAGGAGGGTGAGGTCTGACCCACCTGTCCCATAACCTTTGCCATGTATGTGTGTGAGAAAAGCAAAACATAAGAAGAATATGAGCCAAGGGAGGCATTCCGAACCAGTTTTATTACTGGGGGGCTTTCTTCGTGATCTAAGATGGCGCCCACGAGAGTCAGCCAGAGTAAGTCCCGAGCGCACCTTTAAAATTCCTCTCTCACCGGTTGGTAACCCCTGCTCCCATTTTCGAACAAGATTCCCGAGAGCACGATCTCATAAACATCCAGGGTCTCCCCCGAAACCCGAGATGCGTGCCACCCTATCTTCCAGGATCTGGAGGGCGAGATCGAGACACCTAACCAACTTGGCAACTTCACTAGGGACTTACTACCGCTTAGTTGGATCATTCTTGTTGGGTTAGTCTTTTCCTATATTATCTACTTTCATTCACTTTTCATATTCACTTATGACTGCTGCGTTTTGTAACCCATTTATCCAAATCGAGGATTTTCTTATCCCCTTATTTGAGAATGTCGCCAGGGAACAAGGTCCTTCAACTTTGTGCCCGATCATCCTCTTAAGAAATGAAGCCTTGTCTAGCTCCCAGGTCTTAACCTTGATCGGTAGGAGGAGGGACTTGAAGGTCCCTCACTCCCCATCTCTTCGCTCTGGTGGAAACTCCACCAAGGCGCCCTGCATTGGCAGCACTTATGTTGCCCCACACAGCATACACCTAGCCACCGATGAGTCACTTGCCGGTCGAGTTCTTGAGGTACGCCAGAAGGCTGCCCAATTTCTTTCTACAAAATGCAAGCAAGATGCCATTGCTCCTGTCATTCGCCATAAGGCTACCCCTTACATTTCTGCACCATTGGATGCTCAACACTTCGAGGCGAAAACCCCACGGTCTCCATCCCTCAAAAACACCACAAGGATCGTGGGTCACCCACTCGAGCCATAGCTTGGGGCAACCCTTCTATTACCTCGAGCCTGTGCCCAAGATCGAACCTTCCAAGGCCAGGTCCTGCACACACTATTCGTATGCATCTCACTACAAAGGGCAACGCCATTATTACGCCAACCAAGTACACAGGAGATGACCTCCTCGTCCTCCTACTATGCACACACGAGCACCTTA